GCCCGGATATCACCACCCTCCATCCCTGTTCCCACACCGGAGAAAATGCTTACTTTCCCGCTGCGAAAGAGCTTCGCAGCGGGAAACACCGTCCTTGGAGGTGAGTGTACAGTTTTATTTCAAACTTTTTCACTTAAACTGACTGATCAAGAAATTTAGTCACAGGTTTTGCAGAAGCAGCAGCTCTGATTTAGCAGCAAGTAACAGCAAATAAAGAAGACATCACAACAATATCATCAAGACTGACCTGAGTGCTGGATTTTTCTTGTCTCTCAGATTGAAAACACGACTGCGGAGAGCGGCTTTGTATTTGTCCCCGGTACCCTTGTGCACCTGAAGAAATTAAAAATTACGTGTGTAAGGAGCGAGCTTCTTTAGCGTGATCGGTACTTGAGAACGCCTAATGTAAATGCTTAGAAATTCAGAAAGCACAGAAGCATATGCCGGATGGGACTGTACTTCACGTTTCTCCAACCGCCAATAGCGCCATCGAAGCTAACCAAGAGCACCATCGAAATAAAAGGAAAAGGAGTAAATAAGGACGGAGAACAACCGCAAGAGGTGATGAAAATACGTATAAAACATTGCGAATCCTAACTTCGTCGCTAATGCGTTCTTCCATTGCGAAGATACTATGTAGTCTGTGTTCGATTCTCTCGGTGTGTGGTTCCGCTAACGCGTTGGCCTACCGCGTCGACAGGCTGACCGTTATCCCCGACCTGACCAATGAGCAAAATGTTATTCGCCAGCTTGACACATAATGAAAGCCCTTGAAGTATAAGCAAGTATGGTAATAAAACTAGGAAGGGGATACAGTCCTCATCATTGCGGACTGTCGGAGGCGGCGTGAGCAGCGCGGTTCGAGTCCGCGTTCGGCTCCCTTGCTCTACCAATGGCGATCGGGTAGAATCGATTTAGGAAGGAAACAACCAATGATGGAAACGCCGAGTTGAATGTACCAGCTTTGTTAACAAAATGTATGAAGCAGAACCACTGCTACGTTGCTGTACCGTGGTTGACGATCAGGCACACTATCCGAAAGCCACGAAAGCAGCTTGATATGATGTCGGTGACTAATGGTAAGGGAACTGCGAGTTCTTTTTTTTTCGGAAACTGGTATTCATCAGAATGGCGGGAAAGTTCCATCATATTTTCCGATGAGATTTACTTACAGTAGGATGAATAGGATCACAAAACTACAGCCTCGTTTCGGGATTCTTGCCAGCTTGAGCACCTTATCGATGCAATCGTTCCATAATGCTGGCTGGCGCGACGCAAAGTTGGACATAATCTCAATTTTGACTTGCGCTGGGGTCGTGAGGCTTTTCCCGTCCAGGTAATGGGTTACTTCGGGATATAACAAGTAGTTCGAAGGGGAATTCCTGGGATACGCTGGTGCAAAGGGAGAGCCATCCAGCTCTATTGCATGAAGTTCGGCTCAACCTTTTTTCGAAAGTGTGGGCTGCACTGTTGAAGGCAAACCATGCCAACAAACTTTTCCCTCTGATCGACGATTCGCTTCTGATCTCGCAGCTTACAGTAGTTTCACGAGCTGCAGCTCCCCCAAACTGGAACCACATGAAAATCCATACCTCACTTCGTCTTCAAAAGTGCAGGATCTCCTACTGAAGCATCGGCGTCGTGAAAGATGCCCGATAATTGGGAGCACCATCCTTATGCGGGTCCTTCATTTTAGGCCTCAGGTGCTCTCCTACTTTAGCCACGGTGGTAATGTTTGAGGGAGTGGTTCATACGTAAGTGCTGACGGTACGGCCGCAATTTTTGCCTATACTGCAGAAGTAGTAGGAGAGTAAGTGGTTACTAATTAGCGAATAATGCTTCGCGTATACACCTGATCATTATTCGATCCCAAACTATTTAGATTATGGGTACTTAAGTCTGAAAAAATCGACACAACTCCCCTTTTGAAATATAATTAAAGTTCAGTTCGATGTGGTATGGGACATTCTACGACATTACGACTAAAAAATCATGTTTCAACAAGTACACTTACGGTGAACAACTTCTCCTCCACTTTGACAGCGATCTCCTCAGGATCGAGAGTACCGACTGGAAGCTCTGCGTATCTGAGAGCATTCAAAATCATCTGCGCTGATTTCAACCTAACCTGAAATTATTATAAGCTCGCTATAAGGAATCACCCAAACGGAAGAAAGATTCAAGACAAAACCAATCCTAATCAATAGAAGGAAAAACTGGACTAGGTGTACTGTTGTGGGGTGGCTACACTTCGTACCCCAAGGATGGATAGGACGTGTCTCTTTATTTCTAACATCGTGCTTTTGATTAGACGTTGCTGTTTAGAGACAACTGTAACCAGGTCTACGTTCCACGGAGGAGAGGACGACAGTTCTCTTCAATGAAATATCACAGAGAACATACCTAACGAATTCAACAAAGCCATGCTTTCCTCACATGTCGAAGATATGTCTGAAGCCTGAAGTCTCCGCCGTTGATCAATCCTTTTTGGGACGCGGCACGCATTCTACTTCCATTCAGAATCGTAGTGGCCTATTCGAATGCGATGTGGCCTATGCAATGACTTTGTGGCCAGCCGATGTACAAGTCAGTGTTTTATCCTCCCAGACGAATCTGCGATTTCCCGTCTCTGGAGGGTAGAAGGCATGCTTGGCTTGAGCGACAGCCGATCCAGGGTTTAACCCTCGGACCGCGCGTGGCAAGCGTGCCCCTTGCCACTAAATCACCAATGGTTTTAGGATCCGAATATAAGGAGGCATTAGGTGCATCAGTGAAAGGAAGGACCCGGAAAATTTAGAATATTGAATCGAAAGAGGCCAACAATATACAAGCACTGAACGGCGGAACTAATTCTTAGTGGGACTAAAAGCAAATACAAGTGATTTTACACCAACGGACACTGCTAGGTGTTTCGTTTTGATGTGGTTTGTCTATAGGGCACATTCAGTGAGTCCCATGAAGAAATCGCTGAATCTATGCACGATCACCTATAACGAAGAGCTGTGATAGCTGAAAGTCCCTTATGTCTCCGCTCACCATTCGATACCATTTAATACGCGACGAGCAGATTATAGACATGTAACACGCCACACGGCCAGCTACATCTCCATCCATAGCCGTGCGCTACTTGCCTGCGCTTTCCACGTTTGACTGGGCGCTGCTGTTCTCTATAGCTCGACTTCGGCATCATGTAATACACATGTTCCTTGTACCATACAGGGCAGGGATAGCCGAGTGGTTAAGAAAGGCGGCTCGTGTTCGCAACCACGCTGAAGTAGGTCACGAGTACAATCCCTGCCGAGGCACAAACCATGCCTTGCAAAAATTGCAAAAATGGGGACGATACCAGCGTCAGGCCCAGGTTGACAGGCCGGCTGATGGAGGAACCCGTCACAACAATCATGACAAGTCGCAAAAGTATCAGTGTAAAAGCTAGGACGTCACCCGGAAGTGGCGCGCAGAACCCTCGCCCGAGTTCTGTGGTCAGTATGCGAGGGCTACCGAGGGGTGAACGACCTCGGCCAAAGAAGCTAGTTCGAATTGGGACCCTGAACGTGGGGTCGCTTACCGGGAAGTCTCGCGAGGTTGCCGACCTCATGAGGCGCAGGAACATCCAAGTCCTATGCCTTCAGGAAACGCGATGGAAAGGTGCAAAGGCCCGCGAGATTGGAGAAGGTGTCAAACTCTTCTACAATGGAGCAGACACCAAACGGAATGGCGTGGCCATAGCGGTAGCAGAATCCCTGAAGGACTGCGTCTCTTCCGTGAACAGAATCAGTGACCGGATCATGGGAGTGAGAATGGACACGATGGATGGGTACTGGACAGTACTGACCGTGTACGCACCACAATCCGGCTGCTCCGAGGCGGAAAAGGATGAGTTCTACCTTATCCTGGACGACGCCATAAGATCGGTTCCAGAAGACGATTACCTCACCATAGCTGGGGATCTGAATGGCCACGTGGGAAATGACAGAAGAGGCCTAGAAAGGGTGCACGGAGGTCAAGGAATAGGAGCGAGAAATGCTGAAGGAGAAAGGATCCTTGACCTAGCTACAGCCCACGACTTAGCAATCTGTAGCACCTTCTTCGCGAAAAGGAGGACTCAGAAGGTAACCTACAGCAGTGGAGGGAGACAAACGGAAATCGACCACGTCCTGGTGAGAAGATCGTCTCTCAAAACTGTCAAGGATGTCAAGGTACTGCCTGGGGAAGACCTGGGCCCTCAGCACAGACCTCTCCTGGCAGATATCGCGATAGACCTCCCCAAGAAGGCGAGAGTGAAAACAGAGCGAAGGATTCGCTGGTGGAAAATGCGGAACGCAGAAAGGTATAGCCTCGGCCGAAGGATACTGGAGGCTGGGCTCCCGGACCCACATGGGCCAGTCCAGGACACCTGGAGCCACGCAGCAGAGGTCATCCTACAGTGCGCAAAAGAAGTCCTGGGAGAGACGCGAGGCGGTATCCGAGGAGACAAGGCAGCCTGGTTCTGGAACGAGGAAGTCCAGAGGATCGTCAAGCAGAAGAAGGAAGCATACAAACGCTGGCAAAAGACACGGAGCCCAGAAGACTACGCTGCCTACAAGAGCTGCAAGCGACTCGCTAAGGCGGCCGTTGCTAAGGCCAAGAATACGGAAATGGACGCCCTGTACGACAAGCTGGAAGGCCTGGCTAAAGCTCGGCATCGCGCAGCTCAGGACATCAGGGTCGTAAAGACTGTGAAGAGCAGCAACGGGGCCATTCTCAGGAAACCAGCCGAAGTCAGGAAGAGGTGGGAAGAATACTTCGAGGGACTTCTGAACGAAGAATTCCCTCGCAAGGATAGCCCACAGATAGAGGCGACGGCAGGTCCCATCACTCCCTGGACGAAGGATGAAGTTCGCCGGGAGCTAGGGAGAATGAAAGCTGGGAAAGCAGTGGGTCCAGACGGGGTACCGATAGAGGCATGGAAGGCCCTTGGAGAGCATGGGGTGAGTTGGCTCACGCACTTCCTAAACAACGTAACAGCTGAAGGAAGGATGCCGAATGCGTGGAGGAGCAGCACAATCGTTCCCATCTTCAAACAGAAAGGGGACGCGACGGAGTGCTCCAACTACCGCGGCATCAAGTTGACTCCCCATACCATGAAGCTGTACGAGCGCCTGGTCAACACTAGGCTGAGGGAACTTGTCCCTATCTCGCAGGAACAGTTCGGCTTCATGCCCGAAAGGTCCACCACTGACGCCATCTTCATCGCCAGACAGCTGATGGAGAAGTACCGAGAGAAGCGGCGACCCTGCTACCTAGCCTTCCTGGACCTTGAGAAGGCATTCGACCGCCTGCCAAGGCCTGTACTCTGGAGAGCGCTCAGAGAACGTAACGTTCCGGAGCACCTGGTCTCCATAGTAAAGGATATGTACGATGGAGCTAAAGCAGCTGTACGCACCCCGCACGGCTTGACGAAGGAGGTAAAATCACGGTTGGGGTACACCAAGGATCAGCCCTCAGCCCGTTCCTCTTCCTCCTGACTCTAGATGTCATGGCAAAAAAGAGTCAAAAAGAACTCATGGAGGGACCACTGAAAACCATCCTCTACGCTGACGACATCGCCCTGATAGCGGACAGCAGGAAAGAACTCCAGGACAAGGTGCAGCGGTGGCAAGATCTGCTCGCTGAGAATGGGCTCCGGTTGAACGTGAAGAAAACCAAGTTCCTGAGCTCTGAAGAGTGTAGCGAACCCATCGTAGACCGTCACGGCGAGAACATCGAAAGGGTCGAGGACTTCCAGTACCTGGGGAGCCACCTATCAGCTGATGGCAGCGTGGATCAGGCGGTGAAAGCCCGAATCAACGCAGCCTGGATGAAATGGAGGGAGTCCACAGGAATCCTGTGCGACCGGCGGTGCTCGAGAACACTCAAGGGCAAGGTATACCGGCGGCCGCGGTAGTAAGGCCTACAATGCTCTACGGTAGTGAGTGCTGGCCCATCTGCAAGAACCATGAAAGGCAGCTCCATTCAGCTGAAATGAGGATGCTGAGTGGGCCTGCGGCTGGACACGACTCGACAGAGTCAGAAACGAGGATGTCAGGGCGGTCACACAGACGGCTCCGATCCAGCTGAAAGCACGAGAGCAGCGACTGCGATGGTATGGGCACGTACTGAGGAGGCCTGAAGACCACCCAATAAGAAAAGCCTTGGAATTCGAAGTGGAAGGCAAGCGACCACGAGGAGCCCCAAAGAAAAGATGGAGGGACGTCATCAAGAAGGACCTCACTGAAGTGAAAGCCACGGCAGAAGATGCAGTGGATCGGAACAAGTGGCGACGTCTAACAAGAACAGCGGACCCTGCGACGGCGCGGGACTAACGCTAGGGAGAAGAAGAAGAAGGAAGAAGAAGACACTGTTATCGTACCATCACAGCTTGCCTGCGGGCAAGTCGCTGCGTGCGCATGGCGTTTCAAAACATCCAGCGGATGCATACATGAAGAAGATCCTGCTATGACTGCACTCTAGTTTTATTTGCTCGCACAGGGATTTATGCAATAACAATTAAAAAATGCAAAAAAAAAACCGAAGAGGGACTCACCTCGTCATTCTCCAAATGCTTAGGAGGAAAATTGGACGAATGATATTGGCTTGGGACTGGAGCAGGTGATTGAGACGCAGGTGGGGTAACTCTCGAAGCTTGTTGGTTCGAAACTGTGCCATTGTTTTTAGTTGAGCTCGATGACGATGGCTCGTTTTTAGGTGCCTTGAATAATGATGTTGAAAAGTAGGAAACAAGTTGTATATTTTGTAAAACAGTTGCAGGAAAATGAAATCTGCTGTGTAAGTAAATTGCAAAAGTAACCTTTTCTTTCTTGTCTTCGCGTTTGTCCACTAAATTTTTCCACTCTTTGATGAGATTTTTTGCTTTCTTCGCCAGCTTTTCATCTGACGTTTTCTTGCGCAAATCGTTGATAGTCATTCCAATTCGAGTTTTCTGAAACCCATCGAGAAATGAAGAATTCTGACCAAGAACGGAAAAAACCTGTAGTTGCATGCTTGTTAAAATACTGCTTAATTGTCCAACTAACCGTTAGGACATCAATGGTGATTGGAAGTTTCGACAGAACTTCGAGAAGATCAGCTGCATTGTCTCCCTACAATATGTTTGTAAACGTTCGCCTCGCAACACAACAAAAGCGCCGACATATGCGCTGTATGAATAGCTTCTAGACACTGAACATCGAGAGTTCCCGTATAGTTTCGAAAAAAGTACGAGCTACAGAATTGAGTGAAATTTGGTATATTACGACTTCTGTACCCGTTTCAATATAACGCACACATTCAGCACATATGGCGGCTCTTAAAATATCGGAGATACCATAAAGAATGGAAATTTTTTACCACAACAGTGTTGAGTTATGGGCAAAAGTCAGGATTCGGACGGGACTCCAGCTCGCATCTCCCGCTTACCGGGAGGTTGCGTATGTCCATTAGGTTATAAGGGCCGCCATTATCCTCTCAGCTCTATGGCTTTTTGGGACATAGCCTTCCGAGCACACATACTGATAGGGTTCGAGTGGCCCCGGTAGCATAACGGATAACGCAACCGCCTGGTAAGCAGGATCCGGGTACGAGTTCCGTCCCTGGTCCGACTTTTGCCGTTTTGCCATTGCATTTTTTTGCCGTTCTTCTTCCCTTCTAGAGTCCTCAGTGGCACTACAGGTTCTGTAACGAACACCATTATCAATAGTAACTCTAACCGCGGGTTTGTCTTCAAAGCGCGGCTATTTGCCCGGCCAACTCTAATGAAACAACTCACTCTAGCAATGGCTCAGCCAAGGCGTATAGCCGCGCCTTTAGCTTGGAGATGTAGTCAAAGTAAACCTGTCGTTCGGAAAACTGGCCATCTGCCAAATGCACTCCCGGTTATTATTCTTCCGCAGCATTAAAATGAACACACAATTCAATTATTTGTGCAGGCCGTATTTCGCAGCCTTCAAAAGAGCGTTTGGAGTATAAAAGCCAATGTTCTATATCGCAACATTCAGTTCATAATTGTCCTGTCATTAAAAGCATCAAGTGGAACACAATCATTATATAACAAGCCACGATAGTTTTTCTCCAAGACTGGAACAGAAAAGAAGAGAAAGAATTTCAAAAGACCCAGAAACATAACGACAAGTAACAACGCCATGCTCCCATTTGCAGGAACCACAAGCCTACACCTAGAAACATAATGACGAGTAACAACGTCATGCTCCTATTTGCAGGAACCACAGGCTTTTTTGAGATTTTCATCTTTGGCAAATATATTGACAACGCTGCCAACAAACTTCAAACGGAGCATTGTGGTACTTCACTAGTAATATTCTATCGGAAGTTGCATGCAAATTCTTTTGAGTGAGCAATGGTCGCCTGGTATCTGTTATTTACAAAGCGAAATAATTTCAAGCCATAAGAGGACCGCACATAACGTCTCATTTGTCATGAAAAACAAGCAAAAGACGACTCACTGGCTTTGTACCATCGATGATCTTGTCCAGCTTTCTTCCAATCGCCAGCACTTCGTCTTCGCAACTGGGCATAATGACAGACTCGTGACGAATGAATTAACGAAACACTGAATCAAATGAACCATTCTGCCTATGACACTCGCCAAATACTACGTGAAAGCACACATTTCAAAAAGAAAAAGGAGAGGGAACCGCGAACGAACGAAGCCGTCCCGCTGCACACGCGAAACTCGTCCGCGTCTCCGCCCACCAGAACTCGTCCACTTTCGCCTATTTTTGAACACGTGGTGTGGAGTAACTTTGATATGGACAAACTTTAGCGTTTTCGCGGACTTATAGAGTTCCAAAGATGCTGGCTAAGCCAGATTATCGAATAGATCGCTCTCAGGGATCTCACTGAAACATGCCTTCCGTTTGTGAGGTTCAACCCCTTACTGATGAGTCGCGGCAGATCTGGCGGTTGTCGTAAGCAGTGTGCAGGGAGGTTGAAAAACGAAAGTGTATGTGCTAGCTGACTTGCAGCTCGAGAAAATAGAGAAATCGTCGAAAATGCCCTAAATAAGACCTTCCTGTTGCAGGTGATTTCAAGCGAGAGTAACATCTCACACAGCTACTTCGAGTGATCCTCACCCCTGCCCCTCTCTCCACACTCTTGGCTCGAGTAGCGCAAAAGATTCAACTCGCAATTTATATTTGCAGGTCTTGTGATCTTTACG